GTTTCTATTCAACATTGTACTGGAGGTTCTAGTTAGGGCAATTTGGCAAGAAAAACAAATAAAAGGCATCCATAGAGGAATGGAAGAAAGAAAAATATGTCTATTCACAGATGACATGATCTTATATATAGAAAACCCAAAAGAATCCCCAAAGAAAATCTATTAGAGCTAATAAATGAGTTCAGCGAGGTTGCATGATACAAGGTCAATCAAAGTCAGTGTCTTCTCTAGAGTAGCAATGAACAATCTGAAATGAAATTAAGAAAACAATTCCATTTAGAATAGCATCAAAAAGGATAAAATACTTATGAATAAATTTAACCAAAGAAGTGTAAGATTTGTAGATTGAAAACTACCAATATTTTTGAAAGGAATTAAAGAAGATCTAAATAAATGGAAAGACATCCTGTGTTCATGAATTGGATGAAAATATATGTCCACACAAAAACTTGTACACAAGTGTTTGTAGCAGCATTACTCATAATAGCCAAGGGTGGAAACAACCCAAATGTCCATCAATTGTAAGTTTATAAACAAAATGTAGCATATCCATATAATAGAATATTATTTGGTGAAAAAGGAATGAACTACTGATGCATGCTACAATGTGGATGAACCTTGAAAACATTTTGCTAAGTGAAAAAAGCCAGTCACAAAGACTACATATTATGTAATTTCATTTATATGAAATGTCCAGAATAGGCAAATTCGTAGAAACAGAAGGTAGACTAGTAGTTGCCAGGGGATGGGAAGAGGGGGAAATTGAGAGTGACTGCTAACGTGTATGGAGTTTCTTGGGATGATGGAAATGTCCTGTAATTAAATCCTGGGGATGGCTGCACAACCTTGTGAGTATCCTTAAAAAATCGCTGAATTGAGGGGCTGGCCCTGTGGCCGAGTGGTTAAGTTCGCGCGCTCCGCTGCAGGCGGCCCAGTGTTTCGTTGGTTCGAATCCTGGGTGCGGACATGGCACTGCTCATCAAACCACGCTGAGGCAGCGTCCCACATGCCACAACTAGAAGGACCCACAACGAAGAATATACAACTATGTACTGGGGGGCTTTGGGGAGAAAAAGGAATAAAATAAAATCTTAAAAAAAAACAATCTTAAAAAAAAAATCACTGAATTGAACTAAATTAAATCCTCTGGAGAATGTAGATATTTTTAAGCCAGACAATCTACCTGGTCAGGTGCAAACCACAAGTTCCAACTCCTCTTCAGCGGTCTGGGCTTCCAAAGTCAGTTGTGTTTTCAAAGTGTTGACAGGGTTATTCAGCTCTGTCTCAGTTGTGTTGACACCTAGTGGCCAGTTGAGCCACGGGCAGTGGTCTATCAGTTCAGCTCTCCGAACTGAGTCCAGATCCACAGAGGAGCAGCTCAGGAAGGAGCACTGGAGTTCATAAACAACTTTATGGGGTCACTTCCCTGAGCAACTCTCCCAGCAATTTCCCTGTTCCTTCATTTCCTGTGGCTTCTTGGTTTAGTCTCTCAGGCAGAAAAATGAGGCTTTAGTTCCCCAGCTCTGCCATGTACTTCTACATCTGGGGCCAAGCAGCAGGACAGAGTTGGAGCAAAAGCAACAATGGTTGGTTTCGCCCGCGTGGGACCACGGCTCTGCCATTTGAAGAAGAGTCCCTCTTTCAGAGTTTTGGCTCCTGGGGTCCAGCTAAATGGAAATTCTCACCAGACTCTCTTTACAGGCTGTTCTCTTTGCCTAGAAAGCCCATTTCCCCTTTCTCCCTCTGGAAGTCTCCTTCAGTGTCTTTCCCTTTGGGAAATCTTTCTAGACTCCTTAGAATTACCCATTCTCTCCTCTAAGCAAGCTCTGTGTCTTACTCGTATTTCTAATGTTGGTTTTTCATCACACCACATTCTGAAGCATTTTTTCATGGCCCCGGTGAGCTTTCCGAGGACTGAGTGTTTATTGCTGTTTTACTATCCTCTAGCACAATGGCTGACCAAAGCTGACGTGCAAATAAATGGTTTCTTGAATTTGTTTACCTGTCATCTATCCTCTCCCCACTTCTAATCTGCTGCCTTCTGTCTGGTAGAGGAAACTCCTTAAGCTTGTTGGAATTGTGTATAGACTAAGCAGGTGACAAGCAAGGGCCTAAGGGATTTTACCAAAGTAACAATATGAACTTTAGTACATGAATTTTAGTTGGTCTTTTTAAGGCCTTTATTTCCTAATTTTTGCCTCTGTTCTGGTAGAAGTTGTTGCCAGAAAGCTTGGTTCCGAATAATTTAGGACTCATTACACATACACAAAATTAGAAGACCCAGCTGTCCTCTAAAGGCATTTACAACTTGAGAGAGGGAAATAGCCATGTAAAATTTCAAAAATAGAGGATAATGTTCAAGAACAATACCTCCTGATTAAACCTGTGGTTTAGGGGGGATTATTAACTGGAAAGCAGTATGAGTAATTTTTAAAATATTGATGCCTTTGCCCCAATATAATCCCTCTTATGGGGTCTGATGTGATATGATGCTAAAGATGTGTGGGAAAGGAATATCCTTTTAATAAGCTGTGCCTTTCATGATGCTTGTCTCTAATATTTTTAGGATTAGGATCCTCTTCTTGGACTGCATAAATATGTTTTACATCTTCCAGTTTCTACTGGAAAGTAGTGAACATGAAACAATCACCTGCCTGGTACAATTCTAGGTTTAAGCAGCCACTTGCCCTTGCACTGAATAGTGACAGTCAGTAAGTGGAGAGTCTCCTACTTGATCTTGTGGCATCAAAACTTCTAATATGACAGCAAGATTAGACAGTAAAGCAGGAAATCCCAAGGTTTTAGGTGAGGAGAAACCACATTTTCTCTTTCTAAAACATTGGGATCTCCCAGTGGAGAAGTGGTGTCTCAGGGGAGGCAGGTCAGGACACAGTAGCCAGCTCCCTTTTGCTGCCCAGTGTTCACTGGGAATTCTAGAAAGTGAGGAGGGGTGTGTATCTGAGGCACTGAATTCATGATCCACCAAGTAAGGTTTTAAGGTTTGGGCAATCACAGCACAGTTTTTGGAGCACACCAAAAACAAAGCTTTATTTTCAATTCTACCAAGCTAGAATTTATTTTCCCCTGAGGAAGACTTTTGCTGAGCTGACATCTGTGCCAGTCTTCCTCTATTTTATATGTGGGTCACCACCACAGCATGGCTGACGAGTGGTGCAGGTCCGCAACCTAGACCTGAACCTGCGAACCCAGGCTGTCGAAGTAGAGCGCGCCGAACTTCACCGCTATGCCATGGGGCCGGCCTCCTAAGTTAGAATTTTTGATAATTTATATAGATGCTGCCTTTAGCTCACCATTGCTCCATAAGTGGAGGAAAATTTGCCAAAAAACAAACAAAAAAGCCAGATGTAAACAATACTGTAGAATACACGTTTAACCCATTTAATGGAACATGTTCAAAAGAGAAAGTTAGCATTGCCCAGTACCGTAGCATAACATTTTTTTGGCAAACTGAAAAATACTACCTGAAGAGAGCCCTTCTCTCCCCTCCAAAAAACTCCAAAAATATTTTAAAACCATTTTCCTAACATTTTGATATATTTCCCATGTCTTTCTAAAATGCCTTTTTGCATATATTTATGATGATCCTGTTTATAAGATTTTGGATCCTGCTTTTAACATTTATTGTAAGCATTTCCCAAGTAGTCTTTTTGGTGTGTGTGTGAGGAAGATTTGCCCTAACATCCATTGCCAATCCTCCTCTTTGTTTGCTTGAGTAAGATTAGCCCTGAACTAACATCTGTGCCAGTCTTCCTCTGTTTCGTCTGTGGGATGCCTCCATGGCATGGCTGATGAGTGGAGCAGGTCTGTACCCAGGATCTGAATCTGCAAACCCCAGGTCGCTGAAGTGGAGCGCCCAGAACTTTAACCACTCGGCCACAGGGCTGGCCCCGTAAGTAGAATTTTTAAGCAAGGAAGGGATGACATTTGCATTTTTAGAAAGAAAACCCTGGCTGTGGTCTTTGTGCTGGTTCTTAGCTTTAAAAATTCTAATAGCTTTGTGGAATACTTGAAACTGGTAAAGGTATAATCTACACTGCCCAAGTATTCCGTCAGCCATGCAGTAATCACTGAGCTCCTGCTGGGCACTGGGCATGGCATGGAGGATACAAAGATAAAAACACCAGTCCTTCCCTCCAGGAGCCAACCTTCTGGTGGGAACATAAACCAATACATGTGGTAGTGCACATCACAGCTACTGAAACAGAGAATGTGAACACAGAACTAGGGGAGAAAAGAAGAGGGACTAGTTTTGCTTGAAGGAGACAAGAAAGATTTGAAAAATGGGGTGAAATTTGAGCTGAGTCTCAAAAGTGAGAAGACTACCTTTATTACAGGAGGGCTGGTCAAGATCTGGGAAAGACAATAAATTCTATGTGGAAAGGGCACTGGCCATTGGGAGAAAAATACACTTAATAATAGGTTGGGACCCGCCTATGAAAGTCCTTGATGCTATAAGAGAGTTGGGACTTTATCCTGCTTGTTTCAGTAAGCCAAATGGAGGTTAATAAGCAAGGGAGAGTTGATTGATGGTTGCTTGGAAGTCAGAGCAGAGTGAGGATAGCATAGAGGCAGGCAGGGGCTGTAAATCAGGAGAAGAGAGCTTTCTGGGACCTTTCTACAGTTGAAGGGATGGATTTTGGAGTACTTAGATGTGGAGAGAGGTGGAGGTTGTAGGGAGGGAAGAATAGAAGACAACTTGATATTAGTCTGGAAGTCTAGATAGATGGTGATGCCACTACAGGAAATGGATAAATGGAGAAACAGGAAATGGAAGAGGGCCTGGGCCGCCCATCTCCTGGCCTCCTCCCCTGCCTGGCTAAGTTGTATCCTCCTTTCAAGATGCTTTCAAGGCTCCTAGGAAGCCTTCCCTCCTCCTCCGCTGAGGGTGCTGCTGTTGTGACCTTGAAAAACCCTATGCCCACCCCATCACAATACTTCTCACACTGTGTTGTAATTACCTGTCTCTCCTACTTGGGCAGGAGGAAACCAAAGCTATGCAACTGCCAGGAAAGAAAAAGGAGTACCAGATTCAGATCAGAGCCCCGGGAATGTCCATATTTGAGGAGGATGAAGAGCCAAGGAAGGATGGAGCACTGGAAGAGAAACGCCCCCTGACAGCCCTGGGAGTGAGCATCACCTTCCCAACACACCTCACACAGTGCCTCAGGGTTTGCTGAATGATGTAGTAAGTAAGATACGTATCTCCTTTGTTAAGAACTGAGAAATATCAGAATTTATGGTGAATAATGGGAAGAATCCACCACCATTCTATATGGTTCTAAGATTTGGCTTATACATAGTAACCAGATCCTTTTCTCATTTTCTTTTCTTCATATATATGAATGCTTCCATTATACATTCAAGAATATTTGAATTTTCTCTCACACTCATGCATACACACACATATATATCTTACACACACCCCTCCCCCACAAGTAACAGAGGAGAAACATTTATAAACTTGGAATCACAGGAACTACTTGGGTTCAGATTCTGGATGTGCCACTTTTTTTTTTTAAAGATTGGCACCTGAGCTAACAACTGTTGCCAATCTTTTTTTTTTTTTTTTCTGCTTTCTCTCTCCAAATCCCCCCGGGTACATAGTTGTACAGCTTAGTTCCAGGTCCTTCTAGTTGTGGCATGTGGGACGTCACCTTAACGTGGCCTAACAAGTGGTGCCATGTCTGCGCCCAGGATCCAAACCACTGAAACCCTGGGCCGCCGCAGTGGAGTGCACGAACTTAACCACTCGGCCACGGGGCCGGCCCTGGATATGCCACTTTTAAGTTGTGCAACTTCAAGGACCTATTTAACAGTACTATGCAATTCCTCTGCTGTAAAGTGGGAATTTTAAGTAACCCATATGGTTGCAAGGATTAAATAAGATAGTATTTGTGGAAACTGCCTTGTGAATTTTATATAGAGAATATTTAATAAGATATTTTTACATGGATTTAGATATAATACTACTTAAATTATGTTCCAAAAAAAACTACATATAGTAAAAGTTTAAAATGGCTTTTTCCCCCCAACGTGGATTTTTAAAAATTGAGGTATAACTGACACATAACATTATATTAGTTTCAGAGGTACATGATTCAATTATCTGTATATATTGTAAAATGATCACAATGAGTTTAGTTAACATCCATCACCAAAAAAGTACGAAAAAATTTTTTTCTTGTGATAAGAACTTTTAAGATCTACTATCTTAGCAACTTTCAAATATGCAATACAGTATCACTAACTCTAGTCTCCATGCTGTCTACTATATCCCCGTGACTTATTTATTTTATAACTGAAAGTTTGTACCTTTTGGTCCCCTTTACCCACACACCCTGCCTCTGGCAAACACCCATCTGTTCTCTGTATCTATGAGCTTGTTTTTTTGTGTTTTAGATTCCACATATAAGTGAGATCATACAGTATTTGTATTTCTCTGTGTGACTTACTTCCTTTAGCATAACGCCCTCAAAGTCCACCCATGTTGTTGCAAATGGGAAGATTTCCTTTTTTATGGCTGAATAGTATTCCATTGCGTGTATGTATGTGTATATGTGTGTGTGTGTGTACACATATATATGAAATAAAATATGGCGTGTCTATGTATATATATACACACATATACACACACACACATATACCACATTTTCTTTATCCATGCATCCATTGATGGACACTTAGGTTGCTTCCAAAATGGCTGTCTTAAGCACTAGTCCTATCTTCTCAGTTCTATGTCTCAAAGCCATTCAAAATAAACAATGCACAGTAAGTTATTGTTAATAATTATGAACATTTATTAAGCACCAAGAGTATACTGCAGTGGTTGCTATATAAAAACATAATTATCATATAGTGTCCCTGCCATTGAGCTTACAATCTATAATGAAATACAACAAGAATGCTGTAAGCCTACCTCAAAATTTCCTTAACTTAGAAATGGCCATTTTGGCGAATAAATGAGACAAAATGACCCATCATTTCAGGTACAATGTTAATAAGGCTTCTGAACATGACCCAAAGAATGTTTGACTTGTACTGAGCCATTTTTCTCAATTATATTAGGCTTGGTAAGAAGAAGAGCACTTTGACATTTGGTGAGAACAATTAATTATTTCAAATTGCCTTGTGGACTTTGAGATACTCAGTAGCCTGAGTTTTCCACAGCCAGGGAAAGTCCCATGAAAAGTATTATCGACTAATCCAAGTTTGTCTTCGGTCCCACCTACATTTCCACTTCTTCCTCCTTTCCCACATGTCAGGGCTCCAATGGTACCCTAGCAAGGAAGAAAGTACTATATGTAGCTATAAAACACCCTAAAGTAGTAGAGGCTTAACAAGTTGAACTTCCAGGAAATAGTAATTCATTTTTAAAGAGATGAGTTACAAAGACAACAGTGGGACCTCTGGCCACAGGAGAAGCCTGGCTACGTAAGATACGTAAACAAAGCAGCTGAGCTCAGTCCCGGTCTCTTCCAAGTAATTTAGAATATAGGTAAATGGTTGCTTTTCTGCTCTGTGTTTCTGCTGTAGGAGTATTTAAGAATTTAGCATCAAGACCCTATACTGCTGACTTTGTACTATTTTGCCTATATCCATAGTATAATATTTAATAAATACTTTTAAGATTTTCATTGCTGGTCATATATTAGCTGAAAAAGGCACACTGAAGAGATTTTGATTCTTACTGTCAAATGCAAAGACTGTTTTAGACTTCTGAGCACATACAGTCTCAAACTATATATAGTGATTATTTTCAATCATTGATAATTCTTCGAAGTCTAAAAGAACACTAAAAAATAGAGTAATTGGTTATAAGTTATCTGAAAACTGAAATAGAATTTACTCTGTAAAGTACATGCACAAACTTTTTAAAAATACACGCATACAAATATTTTAATGACAGAGTGGTTAGCATCCTGAGATTTTTTTTCCAGCAATTTTTGGAAAAACCAATAATTTTTTCCCTTAGAAGTCCATCTTGGCAACTTTCTTTTAAATGATAACATAGCAGCAGCAACATTTAAAAAACGTTCACAAAATTTGCTTTGCATACAAGTTTATCGGGAAAGCATGGTCCAGAAACTTCAGGAAAAAACTTTTTATAAAGTAGAATAATTCACTACTTTTGACGTAAAATTGACACTTACACCTTCACTTTCCAATTTAAAAGTGTCATTTATAGTACTTATACTACTTATAGTAAATGAAATCTAATTAATTATGAGATTTGAAATGAAAACCTTGAAACACATACCAACATCATTCTCTTCTAATAAGATAACAGAAATTAATTTCAATGTTTCCTCAAAATAGGAGAAAAAATTAAAAAAGAAATAAACATAGCTATGGTAAATGAATTTGGGTTTACAAATTTCAATCAACACACTTATTTTTAGTTAGTATTGCGTGGAATAGCTACAATTCCTGATTAAAGTATGTGTTTTTCTAAGGCAAGGCAAGTCTGATTATGGATATAGCATGGATATTAGCACAGCTATAAAGGCAATATGACCAATACATATACATTCACTTTTTTTAAGTGATATATTCCAAGCTACATAAAATTTAGTTTCACGTCCTATTCTAAGACTCTATCTTTGACTTATTAGAAGCATGATTGCCGTAATACATTAAAAAATACTTCATTTTTCCAATATTGTAAAGTATACTGTATTTTCAAATACCTAGTATAAATTTTTTTGCACAAAATTTAAAAAGACATACTATTAGCTAGCTATAACTACTGCGTTAAGTAATTGTATGAAGGAAGAAGTTCACAAGGAGAACAAAGTATAAAACTAAGCATAATAATTATTGCATTTAACAAAAAAAATCAAGTAGTTCTGAATACACTTCTTAATAATGTGTATATTCATTTTATAGCTACTAGTTTGATAAACATGTTAAAATTCTGAAAGATTTGTTTTTATTGGTTGGTAATTTTTCTTCCCTGTATCCTCCCCAACAGGAGTTGGCATTAACTTTCTTTTGAATACAAAGTAAAATAATGTGTATAATTTTCATCTGAGTCACATAAAAGCTGACTCTTTTTATTTTAAAAAGTTATATTTAATTTTTTGGACCTTAATTAAAATTTAACATTTAACCCATGTGTTTTTTGCTATTAGGTATAGTCTACATTTCAACAAATTGATAAGAGTTATTAACAAAGGCAAATCTTGATTTCATTTGTATTTTAAATATGATTACACAAACTTTTATTCTTTTTTAACGAGAAAAAGGAGATGAAGAAAACCATTCATATAGGTCCTCTGCACTCTCAACTGTTTTGAGATACAGCTTTAAATAGGGTGGATGGAGTCAAGTAATGTTGGTAATCTCTTATCTTTGCATAGAAGAGAAAAATAAAATAAAGGAAGTTATTTCCTTCCTAAGGTCTCAGCTAGTTTCTTAAGTCTTTTCTTCAACTCCAATGGAAATTTCTCATAGCACTTCTTACAGACTGGCTTCATGTCAAACTCCACAAATTTATTCCTAAAAATAATAATATAAAAAGAAATTAACGGAAATATATCAACAAAGACATATAAATAAAATGAAGTAATTTTATTGAAATAAATTAAGATACTATTTGATAACGTCTATATTCATGTTAGCAAAAAACTATAATTTTAATCTCAATTCTCGTCATTATGGTAGATGTGAAAACTTAATAATAATATCATTTGAAAAAAATTGTACTTATAAATTGATCCTATACATCTCCCTATGTAATACAGAATATATATTACATCTGGACTAAGTGCCAAGTATACAGGAAGTCTAATGTAAATATAATTTAGGTAAATAAAGTCAATCACATTTTAAAGTACCATGAGAACATTTTAAAGAATAGTTATTTAAAGCAAAAACATTGTACTTCTGTAATTTGAATGATCCTCTCTTTACTGAAGACAAAATAATCTTTCTTAGTATTTTAAATTAGGTAGCTATGAGGTTTCTTCTTTCCTGGCATAAAATGGTTTGCTTCCCACCCCCAACAAAAAAAATCACCTTAAAAAGAAAACTCCTAAATCATAATGGGTTATTTTTGTTGGTAGATAGAACAGAGTTTCTAATCACTCTTAAAGAACACAAATGAACCAGACTGTGGTTCCATTTTGTGGATGGTAGCTGTATGGAGAACTCAGTTCTTCATTTTAGGAGCTAGAGCAATACACA